CCCCGCCATTAACACTTCCCCCTCAAAGTTGCCATCTCCCCCCCCACCTTTGTCATCTTCCTCCACCGTCTCTCTTTCTGCCTCCGCGATCTTCCATGTTCTTACCTCCATGACTGGATTGCGTAATTGAGTATGGCTTACGTTCTATGTAACCGAATTGGTTATGTAATTTAATGGATCATGTAATTGAATTGATCATGAACTAATTGATTTGATTGCATAGTTAAATCCATTATGTAATTGATGATCAATCTACTAACGTAATGAAATTGATCATGTAATCGATTCGATTACGTAATTGAATGAATCACGTAATTGAATTGATCACGTAATTGAATTGATCACCTAATTGAGTTGATTACGTAATATGTTCGATAACATGATCGATTGGATTACGAGGAAGACTGCAGAGGCAGGGGAGATGGCGGCGGCGGAGGTGGAGATGGTTGTCGCTGGGCAGATGGCAGCAGAGGCAGGGGAGATGGCAACAGTCCCGAAGGAGATGGTGGTCGCACAATGGAAGATGGCGAAGGCGGCGGAGAAGATAGCGACGGTAGGGAAGATAGCGACGGTAGGGAAGATAGCGGCAATGGATACCTATTTCCAGCACGATCGTCCTCATCCCCGCTATCTCTCGCTGCGCCTCCACCATGTCCCCCTTCGCCGTCTCTCCCTTCACCTACGTCATCTTCCCTGTCGCCATCATCTCCCTCTAGCTTCAGTGTCTCCCTCTCTTCCATCTCACCCTCCGCTTTCACCATCTTCCCCTCCATTACTGTTATGGCGGAGGCGTGCAATTACATGGCAGAGGAGGTGACGTCGAAAGCAACGGGGGGAGATGAAAGCAGTGGGAAAAATGGCGATGGGCGTGGGGGAGATGGCAACGGTTCAGGAGATGGATGCAGCAAGGGAGGATGGCGGTGGGGAAGATGGCGGCGGTTGTGGGCAAGATGGTGGCACGGTGACATCACAGAGATGGTCGTGGCACCTCCATCTCCCCTGTCGCCTCGTTCATCTCCCCCACTATCGCTGCCCACTTCGAGTCCCCTATTGTCGCCATCCTCGTTGCCGCCACCATCTCCCCAACACTGCCAAAATTTTTGTTGCCTCCACTGTCATCTTTCCCTACACCATTGTCTCCCCATGCGCAGCCATCATTTTCCGTGTCTCCACTATCTTCCCCCTGTTACCATCTCAACCTTCGCGGCAGTGACGGGGGAGATGGTGGCAGCGGGGGAGATGGATGAGGTCGGGGGGGGAGATGGTGCGGTGGCATTGGGGAAATGGCATTGATGGAGATGGTAGTGGCGAGGGAGATGGTGCTTTATATGTGTGTACATATCTCATTGACACATATGTTAGTTTTACAGCGTGTGTCGGAAAGAAATCAATTACCAGGAATGCGACTTGTACAAACCCCCGTACGAGTACGGATTCATGCGCCCATACCCGCATGTTACTCGTAGTACGCTAGAGGCCCAATACGACTTTTTTTTTTAACCCTTTTTTTTTATAATCATATTCTAATAAGAATTTGAAGATGATGTTTAACCAAACATTGTTTATTTTATGTTGGTGCATAACATTTGTTTTTTCATATATTTTATAGGCTACCAGTCGGGCCGCCCGGGTGACCTTGTTTGCCCAAGCGGCCATGCAAAGGTCAAAGTAGGTTCTAGCAAAAAAGACAAAAAAACAAAACAATATGGAAAAATATGAAAACAAACTATGTTATGCATAAAAATAAACTGAATAATTTTTGCCTCATGGTTACATGAAAATTCGTTACCGATTTTTTATTTTTTTATTTATTTTTTACCAGCTAGGCACAAGTCTCGGGCCACTTTGGTAGCCTAGGATTTTTCTAATTATTTTTTTTCGTATGGGTAGGTACAAAACATACGAGATGACGTACAGGTTACCGTACAGGTCTTGCACAGATATTACCTTTACTTTTCGTACGCAAAGGCCTTGTACGTGTACGTTCGGTAACGTAGTCAATTACGCAATCAATTATGTTTTCACAAATACATATCTATATATATACATGGTAGCCGGCGTTCTGTTGGGGCCAAAAGACCGAACCCAAAGGCCCAAAGGTTCAGGGCCCCTTGTAGACTCGTTCGGTTATTCAGGCCGAACATTAAAAAAAAAAAAAAAAAAAAAAAAAAAAAAAAAAAAAAAAAAAAAAAAAAAAAAAAAAAAAAAAAAAAAAAATCAATCCAAAACATCTGAAAAATATTTATGTTATGCAGAAAGATAAACTAAACAACATTTGCCTCAACATTACATCCAAATTCTTAACGAAATTTAAAATAAAAATAAAATACAAAAAATAAATAAAAAAATAAAATAAAATAAAAATAAAGAGACAATTAAAATCAGTGCATGGGCGGGCACGTTTTAAACATCGCCAATTTGGCCTTTTTTTTTTTTGGCAAGGTAAATAGCCCTGAAAATTTTTGCGTGTGTATTTGACATGATTTAAGATTCATAAAAAAAAAATTGAAAAACAATAATTGTTTAGGCCCCAAAACTGAAAAAAAAAAAAAAAAAAAAAATAGTGAGTGGGCGAGCACGTTTTGACACCGCCATCTTTGGCGGTTTGTCTTTTTGATTTGAATAAGCAAATTGCCTTCAAAGTTTATAATCATGTCCCGCACATCATTTAAATCCTATAAAAACAATTTAAACAAAAACTAATAATTTTGAGTCTCTAAAATCAATTTTGGCAGGGACCTAAGCCCTTTAGGTTTGGACCCCAAATGGGACCCTGAACGCTAGAACGTATGGAGGTCGGCCCGAGGGCCTCCTTACGTACGGGCTGATAACCATGCATATATATATACTAGGCTACCAGAGTGTTGTGGGACGATTTGCCTAGTCAGGCCAAAAACAAAATAAAAAATAAAAATGTATATTTTTTTAATTTTAATCTTTTATTTTAAATCTGGTAACGAATTTGGATGTGACCGTTATCGAGCGCATCGGCTCCCGCCTTTTTCACTAAGTCAGGAGCTCTCCCAGCCATGTCACGCAGGAGTTCAACAAAACAAAAATCAGAGACAACTTGGGAACAACGCAAAATAATCCCGCAAACCGCCAAGACGGTCGAGGTCGCGTCGTCCCTTCGCCGCTCTGGCCAGGTGCGCCAGCTATGCATCCCGTGGTCCCCTACGACAAGCTAGGTTCCTGCGGGGCATAAGCTTTCCTTCCCTAAGGGGTTGTCACCACCCTTAGGGGCGTATCCCTACCGAGCTACTGACCCCCGTGGGAAAGTTTTTAGATACAATCACAGATGTAGATCAGTCGAGGGCGTTTGCTCGTTCGTTGTAGTATAAATACGCTTGGTTAACGCCAAGCGGACCCAAACGTCGTTCGTTCCTTAGGGTGTTGATCACCTAAGTACGAAGCAGACGCCAGTCGACTAGGACAATCTCAACCAAGCATGAAACCCAACTTTAATCCTAGTCCCTTAGACACTCAATCAAAAGAAAGTTGTAACAACCATACATAGTTATATCGAAAAGAATCGACCTCAGTCGGTATATCCAATCTGAAATGATAGTTGAAAAAAAAAAAAAAGAATCATTATATGAAACATCCAATAATACAATATCAAAATAAACCCCGACCACCTGGGCCGAACACCATAAAACAATCAAATAACCGCCAACAAGGAGTTGGCTACCGAAAACAACCGTGATGCAGTCGACAAGGTAGTTGGCTACCTTAGTCAATCTTGATGAGATACGTCGCCAAAGTTATTCATTCCACCTACCGCCAACCTAAGATTAGACACGCTCACACCGTCTCCATACTTTCTTTGATCTTCTTGGATGACAGCCTGCTTTGCGAATGATTCTTAATCAGGTGCATTGCTTGAAGTGTTGCATGCCTCTCCCACTTGGAAGTGGTCTGAGGTACTCCTCCTCGCCCGAGCACAAAACTCAGATTTCAGAAGTAGGGTCGTCTCCATCGAATCGGTAAAGTACCCCCCCGTAGAATGGTCCACTCCGGGTCGATAACAGGGCCGGCTCCTAAAGCAACGAACCCCCGTCCCAGATGCTTCCTAGAGAAGGATAATGTGTCCACTACAAGTAGTTTTTTGTTATTACCATCTTTCTTAAGTTCAGGGTAACCTAGACGATAAGAAATCGAAGGAGATAGAGAATGATAATAATTTGGACAGGTACATTTAGATAAGGTCATTCGGAATAGAAAGGGTCATTCCTCGGGAAAAAAACTTAGTCTGATTATCGTTTTCCTCATCTTCTTCACAAGATTTCTTTCACGACACCCGTTGAAAGTATTCAAAGTACAAGTAGTTTGACATGCAGGCAGGTGAAAGGCAAAAAAAAATATTTTTTTTCCTTTTCTCAAATACACAGAATCAATCTCCTTTGCAAGCATCCTTCTACCTACCTGCACATCACGCAAAACAAACAATTTTAAAAGAGTCCAATACAACCTCATACACAAGCCAGACTTTTTCATTCACATACATGACTCACACAACTTTCCTCTACCTTTTCAACGAATATTCAATGAACAGGGTCAAGCAAAGTGTGGCTTCACACATGTGTGAAAATAATCTACGTCAATCAACTGACCTTGAGTGAAGTTTGAATCGGCTCACTCAAGAAAGCCGAGTAATATTCCAATTAGAGTAAAGGGTAACCACCGTTTAAGTTCAAACTATGAGGCCACAACTCCACAATTGTGGCCTTTCTCCCGAATCACGGTTCGCGTCCTTCTCCAAGTGCCCGATCACAGCAAGGTTGGGCCTATTGAGATGTCTGAATGAGATAACCCTCAAAGAGGGCGCTACCATGATAAAATCTCACGTGATCGCAACGTCCCGTACCATCCTAGCACAGTCTCAATCGCACCTTGACCACCAAGGATACTTCCCAACCAGCCCCAAGTCCACGCCGTCTCCAAGCACCACGTCCGCTCACAATAGTCACACCAATATGCTGGTCCCGATCCCAAATCAGTCCCACCTAGTCCCAAAATCAGCCCTGATGGTCCCACGTTACCGTCAAAGCACCGATTGGTCTCAAACTCAAAAGCCGCTCGCACCGCTCGCCACAAAAAAAATAAAGGTGACTCCGGCTCAAACCACATATGCCGTGTGCCTAATAATCACTGTCGTGTGCACTCACTCTGCACTTTCTTCTTGTCGTCGACCCGCGCACCACCACCGAAAAGACCCATTCATGCACCTATGTTCATACTATCGTCGGATCATTAGAGAATAGTCCACCATCACCACACACATCAAAAAATTAAAAGGTGTCGCGCCGTCGAAACCAGTATCACACCACCATGCCAAAAAATTGATAGCAGTTCCCATCGAAGTGCCGCTGCCGTGCCAAAAATTTGGCAGCGTAACCTCATTAAAAAAAAAAATCGATGTGCCATAACGCCGAACGGACAGCACCTCCCCTTAGGGAGACCGTGATGCTGCCACACCGTCAGCCCGACAACACCTTCCCAGACGCACGTTAAAAAAAACATAGGCGCCGCACGACAAATCCGGCAGCACCTTCCCTTACGAAGGTCTTGATGTCGCGACAACAATCTGGCAGCACCTTCCCTTAGGAAGATCTTGATGTCGCGGCAGTAGTCCGGCAGCACAACCTCACTAGAAAAGGTGCCGCTTGTCGCACCGTCCGGACCCTGACGCAGACCACCGGCCACGACACCCATGTAGAGGTGGGGCAGTGAGCTCCCAGCCTCGGCTATGGCTGCCCTGGCTTGTCCTCCTCCGGTAGCATCTCCCTCCAATTTGCAGACCTCCAGTTCTCCACTAGCAGCACCCTCCTCTCAACCTATAGACCACCACTTCTTCCACCAACAGCACTTCCCCTCTACAGCAGCATGCAGCAGTCAGCCAGCATTCACACAAGTGAATGCCCCAACAGCACTGCCACATGTGTGAGACTGTTGGGTGGAGTGATGGCTTTTATAGCCAGCCGACGGCATGTGGGCAGCTGCCTTGCCCACAGCCAGGCAAAATTCGCCAGTGCTCCTGGCCCTTGATCTAGATCAACAGCTAGGAGCTTGATGCCTTGGTTTTCCCCTAGGGGATGGGAAAACCAAGGTCATCATCCCCCAGAAGTACCTAGCCGTTTTCCTTGGCCAAGTGTTCCAGGAAATGGATGTACCCAGCCATTTTTATTGTTGCGTGCTCAAAACGCACAGGCGCATTCCCATCACCCCCTAGAACCTTCTGGGGCTGCACCTGTTTCGCGGCCGCGACCAAATTCGTGGCCGTTACTTTTTTTTTTTTTTTTTTTTTTTTTTTTTTTTTTTTCTCCCTTTCTTCTTTTCTTTTCTTTTTCTTTCTCCTATTTTTTTCCTAACCTTCCTCTTCAACCTGTCTCTTATACACATCTA